TTTCATTCCCATAAGTGAATTACAGTTAAATTTACTCTCTTACCTTAAGGGAGTCACATTTCTCATGGAAAAATTAAGGGTTACTTCTTCCACGACTTTTCTTACCATGGCCAGTAGCAAGAGTTAGATTATAGGGAGGTTTCATTCTACTTTAATGGACTTTAAATTCTGGCAGGAACTAACTTGAATTGTTCAAATTGGTCATGGGGATACTGAAGCACTGAAGTCAACAAAGCCTGCATCCACATCAGGCATTATCCTTTCACTTTGATGTTTGGAATACAGTTATAATGGGCACTGAAAAAGTGCCCTAGATCTCCATAGGTTTTGCTTTAAATTGTGTGCTGCTTCCAAGAGAATATATTCCATTGTATTTACTCTCCTGTTTATCTCTATAAAATTTGTGTGAGTTTTGGCTGAGTGTGTCTCAAAAGAGAACTGTTACAAAATGCACAGAGATTCTGGCAGAGGACTTAGGAAGATGCTGTACCACTTGCTTGCACTTGATACAGCATTTCCTGTGTAAATTTATCTGAAAACTGTTTTTTTAAGAAATGGTAATATTTCATATTCTTTGTTAAAAATCAGCCAAGGTGCATGTGCCAATGGTTGATAAGAACATCAGTTGAGGTCCTTCCATCAGTTTCATTTGGGTTTGGATCGGGCTCTGTAGTTGTACATTTAGCAATGGTATAATTGAAGAGTAAATTGCTAAACTTGTTGCAGAATGTCCTGGAAAATTCTTGAAAGTTGTTTGTATGTCAGAGATAGCTGAGTCTCCTTCTGCTGTATTGGAAGCTCATCTGAGCACACCAAGTGAAGGCTGTCATTTAAATCACTTCCCTGTTTGAATTCCTAACTTCCCCCCCAACAATTTTTTTAATTGGTAGAAAGCTTTTGCCACAGCTTGTGGCTGGGAGAAGAGAAAGTCTTTTTCTGGGATGTGGGCATGTATTTGCCATCCAGTAGCTCAAGGCCTGTAGGAGATAAGCCAGACAGGAACCTTCCTTCTTGCCACTTTTTCTGCTCTTTCTGCTAAACCACTGTATCACCATCAGTCCCAAGTCATCTAACTGGTAGCATCTCTAGTGCTATTATCAAGGCACATTTTATTCCTTGCTTCCTTCCTGGCCAGCAGGATGAGTGCTGAGGGAATAGCAAGGGTTACCTCATACCTCAAGCATGAGCATGACATGATGAAACATGGCTTGAGCCTCCTGCTGCAGCAGCTCCTGCCAGTTCTCTGAAACAGCTGTGCTGTGGATGGGATTTTTGCCTTTGCTGATCTTTTTGCAATGGTCAACCTGAGAAATAGCTGCTTAATGCACACAAACTTCTTTTAAGAACTATTTAAATTAATATGTTTTTAGAAACCTAGCCCAGTTCCATTGTTGATGTCCATAGCTGCCATTGTCTTGGATACACAACTTTGCACATAACTTCATAGGCAATTAATTGATTCCTTTTCCTAACAAAAAGTGATTTTTTTAAATAGTAGTAGCATGACACACTTCTCCAGTGCACGCCTATCCAAGTTACTTGTTATTCTTTAGGACATAATGTTAGCTTCTTGGTGAATCATCTCTTATTTTTTCTTTTGTCAGTGCTTTCAGATCCTTATATTCATTTCCAAGGACTGTCATTAAGATTGTCTTAATTGAAAGAACATTTGCTGTAACTTGAGCAGCTGTTCCTCTGCAGTATAAAATCGTGGTAATTGTTTGTGTTAGTTCAGCACAAGGTCTCTGTGATGGAAAGCAAATGGTCCCTGTTAATAGGTGGTATCTCCCTGCTGTCCTGTCACCCATGAGCTGGAATATGAGATACACTCTTTACTGTGTGAAATAAAAAAACAAAAACCACTTCTGAACTCTGATTTTACTTGTTTCTGGGACTTACTTTTCTAGAACTGTGTATTTTATCTTTGAGTTCCTGTCAACGACCAGTTGGATTTGTGATTCAGTTGCTAAATTACTGGAATAAGCTTATTTGTATAGCACTCAGGATAACCCTGCCTGATTTACAGATGCATGAGATAAAAAGCAGTTTCCCATCACTAAAATAGGTGCCATTTAAAGAAGGCTTTCAGATGTGCACATCTTCCTCGTTTTCAGAGCCTCTTTTTGTGGTTTCCCAGTTAAAAGCTATCATTTCCATTAGATGTTAGAACTTAAATTGGCATCTAGTGGATGCTATATTCTGTCTGTCCTTTTGCTGTGACATTTCTGCTTATTGATTCCAAAGATGAGTGTTACCTGTACCTCTGCATAACCTTGTTTTATCAGTGCTAGCTGTGATCTCAGCTGAGGTGCTGTCGTTGGTATTCAGCTGGCAGTTCTTGATGTGCACACACAAGGCAGGCAATCCTTTGGGGCAGCCAAAGGGTGATGCCAAAGCTGCTTTGCTCCTCTCAGTGTGGAAGTGGGAGATGTGTGCCAGTGGGTGTGTTCCTGTGAGTGTCCTGACAAGAAACTTGAGGCTGTTGTTTCTAAGGTACAGGGTCACTGCCCTTGTTCACTCGTGGTCTGATCACCTTAATACCTTGCAGTGAGTGGTGAGCAATGATGTGATTCATCTGGCATATTTTAAACTAGCAAATCTAGTTTGAAGGCTTCTTCTCATTTTATGGAAACCTTGGCACCTACTGTATTAAACAAAATCTGAAGTCTTTAAATGGCTGCTAATTTTTGCCTTCATCTCAGTGACTCTATGTTTCTGGAAATCATATGTCTAGACATTGTCTCTGTTGAGAGGTATGAGTTCCCTTTTCCTGGCTGTTGCTCCTTCTGGAAGATGTTTCAGCCTTCTTGCAGAGGTGTTTATCCTGACAGTCTGTTCACTTTCAACAGTGCTGTTGTGCCTTTCTGCAGCTTCTCATCTATTTCCACTGTTTGAATTTCTGATACAGAATTACAGCTGGGTGCCACCTTCCCTTCTTTGAGGGAGGTTCTGAAAATGTTCTCTAGAAGTTACAAGTCTATCTATAGATATCTTCAACTGAGTGTAGTAATAAGGGGCAAATGCTCATTTGTCTTAAGAGATTCTTCTATTTCATTTATGTGTTGGTCTCTCAAGCCAATACAAAAATTTCCAACCACTGAATGTGATTGGATATTCTGGCTACGCCCGACAGCAGTTAGAGAGATTTAGAGCAATATGCAGCAGTGTTGAAGGTGAATGGGAGTTCAAAGAGTGGCTCATGAAACTTTAAATACTAGTGAGGACTTGCAGCAAAAATCTATGGATCTTATAACTAGGGAATCAGGTCTTCAGTGTTAGCTAGAGGAGGGCATTAGGAAGAACATCCTAATACTGTATGAGGTTTTTCTTTCCTCTGTGATGACTCCTGGACATATCTTGCATCAATTTCTTTGATTTATTCTGCAGTTTATGACAGGAGAATTCAAGAGTAGGAAAAGCTACTATCATGGTTTTTTTGAGGGAGTTGGTTTTGTTTGGTTTTGCATGTGTTTGTTTGTTTTCCTTACAGCTCAGAGTACTGTGGTATATTCAAAGAAGTGGGGCCACCTCTCCCTCCTTTTTCCTGTCTCAACAAGTCCTCTGTTGAAAGATAAATATCCTTGTTCCTTGGAAGCAAACCACATGAAATAGAGGATGCAATAGATAGCCCTTTCTGCTTCTAAATCCCTTTATTTCTTTTCCATGATTTTTTATATTTTATAAAGCTGTTTTTTAATTTTTTTTTTAAGCTGAACATTTCCTGCTTCCTAACAGTTTCTCAATTGAAAGCTTGAGCAGTGCTTAACAAAAGATGAAGTGGAGCTGTTTCTGTTCTTCCCTTTCTAAGACAAAAGAGTGTAAATTAAACTGAAATATCTACACACATATATATATATTTATATGAAAAAGAATTTCTAAGGATTTTGTACGATAGAATCTTTCCACTGCAACGAAAAGACACTATAAATAATTCACCTCTGACTTCATAACACTTTGGTATTTGAAATATTTTTCTCTAGGTTTTCTTAGTATTTTGGTGGGAGCCTCAGAAATTATTCCAGAGTTTTCTGGTTATTTAAAGGCTTCTGATAATTTACTTCTTCTTTTTACTTGGTCAGTAACCTTGGTTTATTGAGGTTGCAAGTCAGGAAATCTTCTCTGTCCAGGACAGCACTAAGAAAAAGCTTACTTGAATTTCTAAATAGATACTAAATTTTTGTGAAGTTTTGTGGTTTGGTTGTTGGGTTTTTTTAGTCCAGAAATAGCTATAATAAGTTTATTAAATGATAATATAAGTATATTAAGCTTCTGTATTAAGTACTGTGAAGTATTTGGCAGAAATTGAACAAAATAGCTGAGGTTGCTGAAGAAACATCACATTTTTCTGTTGGTTTGTCCAAGAAAAACAATTTGTTGTACAGCAGCAAATAATCTGCATTATCAAATGTGTCCCGTTCCTGTCAGGAGCTAGGTGCCCTTCATTTCCTTTTGAAGCCAGAAGGGATTCAACGTGTTGCAGCTCAGGCTGTGCTGAATACTAATGTCTTGATAGCTGGTAGATCATTAGTATTTATTTGTAAAATGGAAGGAAAATTAGTTTTGACCTTTAGAACTAAGTCAAAAGGTTAATCCATGTCCATTTCCAATTTGGTGCATTAATTGCTCCCTGTCCTAATTGTGTGTAGGACAATATTTTCTGTTTGTTTCAGAGGTAAATTAAACTGTAGGTGATGCTTTGCATTCATAATTTTGTTGTTTGTTTTACTTACAAATGAAGTCCAAATCACTGAATGTATCTTCATGGATTCTGTTTAAATAAATAGATAAATAAATCAATCAGTGTTTCTGATTTTTTTTTCACAAATCAATGCATGCATTCTTCCTAAAGCTAGCAGAATGTGATGTTCTTTTTGATGCACAGAGGATAAATATAAGATTATGCATTTTTTGGTTATTCAAATATTAGTATTCTTGGCAGCTCTGAATAGGAGGGGAAAACACCAGCATGAAATTAATAACTGTTTTTGTTTCTGTCATAGCTACACTGTACACATCCTGCATTTTGCTGGGCATATTCCTCAACAGCAGTGTACCAATATTCTTTGAGCTCTTTGTGGAGACAGTCTACCCTGTTCCAGAAGGAATAAGCTGTGGAGTTGTCACCTTTTTGAGTAATGTGTTCATGGGAGTGCTTTTGTTTTTCCTCACATTCTACCATACAGGTAAGAAGTACAAGCCACTTGAAACATTTAATACTCCTTAAGGACACACCTTTGCCAGTAAAAGGAAGGATTTGCACGTACAATTTCTGTTAATAATCAAATGTTTGAATCCAAGCAAGGGCAGCAAGGAAGGAGAATTTTAATCATTCTTTTCTGTATGCATGCTTATAAAAATGAAATTTCTTAGATGCAGGATAATTCTACTTGAATCTGCTGTAGCCAGAAACCACCAAGGTACACACTGTCATCAAATTGTATAAAGGCCTGGGTAATGTGACCATTAATAATGTTTGTACCTGTGGGTGGTGAGAACCACAGTAAAGCTCACCCAACCCCATGCTCTTGGGTAGAGCTGGATTGCCCAGGAGGGGCAGAGCAGAAATGCCCCATTTAAAGCCAGCTCTGTTCAGTGGGTGAGGTCCCACTGCCCAAAGACAGAACAGGCACTCCCTTGGGAAATCCCATGGCCTCTTCCAGCTCAACAGGATTTCACTTCAGGTTTTTGTCAATTCATTCAGACTTTCTCTCTCTCAAGTATTATTTGCTTCCTACTAACTCATAATCATAACTTAAAACTTGCTGTTTAGTAGACTGTAATATATATTATTACTCTAGGCTGTAAAATAAGAGCCCAGCTTGCTTTCAAAGGGAAGTCTTTATTAAGGGTTTTCAAAGACGCAGATTTTTTTCTTTGTATTTTGCCATTATGTAAACATTTGCTTCATGGTGTAATATTTGTAAACTATTAGAATATATGAGCTTTTACGTATTATTACTTCTTAAGATGTTGTAGTTTATAACTAAGAGGAGAGTGACAAATTTCAGATTGAATTCTGCTATAAATTATCAAAGTTTCAACCTGGGGCAAATTTTCAGCATGGTTTGTCTTTCTGCCAGGAAATTGCAAGCAGGATGACAACCTTGTTCCAAATTGTGGTCTGTGAACACAAACAGAGAGAAATTATTTAATTTTTTAATACTGATGCTGAACTGTATCATTGTAAAATCTGAATGCCATCTGGACTAGCCTTGGGTGGTGTGAGAGCTAGGCTTTACATTTTAAAGTATACTTTTGATATCAATTGGTGTGAACTCTGTTCACACATACTGTTGTTTCTGACATCTGTACCTGAGCTGGAAAGATGACACAGAATGTTCAGAGAATTTTTTCAGTGTTTGGCATTACATAATAAATGAGGATGGGGATATGGTGTCTCACTTCTGATGAAAAAATTACAATAGAGTGGACTCATTCCCCCATAAATAGAGTATTGGGACCATTTTTTGTCTCTCATATTTCTTTCCCTACAAGATACCAGTAAATGCAGGTTAGGATAAACCTGAAATTGGTATACCCATACGCTTAAAATATTTCCCCTATTTCTTCAAAAGGAAAGAAAATAAAGTAATTTGTGCTTAGGAAAATCCATTCTTTGATAGAAAGTCTGAGAGAGTGTGTGGTCACTGGGGGGGATCAGTGCCAGGGGTGCTATTGGCTCCTCTGATTAAAAAAATCCGTTAGAAGGTAGATAATGATCTGAATCATTTGCTTTCATTTGATTAAAATACGTCCTGTAATGGCATTTAAGAAGCTTACAGATAAACCAGAACTCAGTCAAATTCATCTTGTTCCCTTGGTCTTTCCTTTTAGCCAAATAATCTTTCAGTAGTTTTCATTCCAATTTCTCTTTTTCTCCTTGTACTGATATTGCAAATGCTGTGAAGGACCCAAGCCCTGGAAGCTTTCCAGTGCACTGAAGATTTTGGTTCAGCTAGCAGAGTGGGGATGTAAACCCACCTAAAGCTCAGCCTTGCTGCTAGTGCTGTGCCCCAAAGTTGCAGCCTCTGGATGAGGATTCCTTTGCCTTTCTGCAGGGATTTCCAAGGGATAAACAAAAGGAAAATGACCTTTAGTTCACACGATTGATGCGTTCCATGCATCGCCAGGGCTGGCACAAATTCTAGATCAAAAAAGACATGAAGTATTCCCAAGTTAAACTTCATCTCTTAGGATATTTGAGTTAAAATCTGTTTATTCCAATTAAGGAGGAATGTTGTAAGGAAAATTATAGCAAAGCGTTTTCCTGTTGACTTCTGGCATCACATAAGTCTTCTCCAAGCCTAGGATATTTTTGCTATGGTTTTAATAATAATACTGCCTAAACAAATCCACAAGGGTTTTTGGTGGATCAGGGAGAATGCTGTTGAAAGTTCCTGGTTTTGGAAGGCTGATTTTTCAGGCTTTCTGACTGTTGTCCTTTGCCTTGTTTAAAATAAATCATGCTTTTTCTTTCAGCAATATAAATTGCATATTTAAGAGAGTAGCAGTGATGAAGCCTTGATTTTGATTAATTCAGATTTGATTAACTCTCCTGGAGGGAGAGTTTAGATTCTGTAAAATTAAATAATGATAAGAGAAAAAAATAATAATAGTAATAATAATAATGGAAAATTTGAAAAAATGAGTAAAACACTATCCGGTGAAATGAATGTTTCTTTAGTAAATTGACACATGTAGAAAAAAAGAATTTGTTGTACTTGTTTGAAAAAAATGTGACTCAAACTGCTAATAATTAGTCAAATATCAGATGATAGAATTTCTTGAGTACAGAGCACAGACTTTTAAGAGCAGTATGTTATGTCAAACAGCTGAAAAGAGGCTTCCAAGGACCTGTTTTTTGCAATGACTTTTAAATTGAATTGATTCCATTATGCACAAGTTTTCTTCTGAGGAATTGGCTTTCCCTTCTTATACAATGTAGCAGGTTTGATTCAAAATCAAACCCAGTTTCTTCCTATGCTTTTAATTTTAGTTCTCAATCCATAGAAATCAAGGGACTAATGAGTAGAGTCTTTGGAAGTGGTTTATTCTCCATCAGCAATGATAGATTTTTATTTTGTTGCCCCGTTCTCTTCATTGGCAGGTTGAATAAGGAGGATTTCCATTAGCTGGAGGCATTGGCTTTAAATATCTATAACTTGAGGTGTCCGTGGAGAAGCTCACAGACCAAGTTAGCCATGGATTGATTGACTGGGAGCTGTCAGGATTTTGTCAGCACACAGCAATTTCCTTCAAACCTGCCATCAGTCCAAATTTTGGTTGCTTTAAACCCAGAACACGTTTGATAACTGAGGCTGGGTCTCTGTTCTGTTTCACAGAGTTCTCCTGGTTCAACTGGTGCCTGCCCGGGTCGTGTCTGCTCAGCCTGCTCCTCATCCTGTGCTTCCGCGAGTCCTATGACAGACTCTATCTCGACGTTGTCGTCTCCGTGTGATCACCCCTCGCTGGTGAGGCTTGGAAGAGACTGGAAGTCGGCTTTGCAGTCTGCACATCTGCCTGGATTTGCACAGCTGAACAGCAGAAAAACAAAGAAATTTCAAGACTTAATCGTGGCTTTATTTAGAGAGGGTGAGGGATGGGTCGTTCTTACATTCAAGACCATCTTGATTTGCCATAAATGTGGAACTGGAGTGGTGATGGTGACACCAAAATGCACAAAGAGAATCTCTCTGCTGTCCAGGTCCCTGTGCAGGGCTGGGGCTCTCTGTTGAAGAGGCTGTTGATGTAGCAGTGAGGTGTATGTTGTGTGTGTGTGTGCCTGTGTGCTGACTCACGGTTATACACACCAGGGTACCAGTAATCTTCAGAGTCTTCTATCAGAATGAAAATAGGGAATAATCTTAACAAAAGGAAAAAAAATAAGAAAAGAAAACAGAAATCTTTTCAAGATCTCTTTAAAATCACTAGTCATTTATATATTGAATGTTCATTAAACATTTAAGCCAAAATGATTTGGTGCTTGTACACTACATTTACATTCTAATAAAGTGGGTTCTGATATAAGACACTGGTACCAGGGTTTTTAGCCATACTAAATACCCCAAATAATCCTTGCAGTGATATTAGAGGTGTATGTTACCACCCTGGAGCACAAGTAAACAATAGCTTTAGCTGCCACTGAATCCCAAACTGCACCCACAGTCATCTCTGAAATGCCACCCCGGTTCCGTATCTCCTGAATATGGAGCATCTGTGGGGTACTGGAGTGTCACTCTAGGTAAATGTTGCTGTTCTAAAGGCCACCACTGTGTCACCTTTCCATCCTCCATCTCCAGTACTGCCTTTTTTACTGTTTGTGCCACTGAATACTGTGGGTGTGGATGTCTGAATCCTGCTAGTTCTCTCCTGATACTCTAAGGTGTGTGTGGTTTTTAGGATTAGTTTATGACTGAGGGTGCCTAAACAATATTGCTTGTAACCCAAGTCTGGAGAAATCACTGTTTCCTAAAAAAACCTTTCTAGTTGAGGAGGTGCATTGATGGCGAAATGACAATGAGTTTGACAATGAGTAACTCACGAGTTCTGGCATAATATGGGAAATTAATGCCAGCTCTTTTTATCAGTACTAATCTGTGGTCGTTCCGGCCCTTACTTGAACAGAAATATTAAAGACACTTTGAATAGTTTTTTAACTCAATTTTTAAACCTGCTAATGATTTCTTAATTATATTCTTAGATTTCAGTTCAGCATCATTTAAAATATTTCTGTATGTGTGTGTGTGTGTTCTGTGCTTTGTGTTATGGGGATGTGTTTGTGTGTTTGGGGGCGTGCATATTTATATCAATGTATACACAAATAAAACTTATATATATAAGAGATACATAAATATATATATATAAGTTGTGCAAGGGTATGTGTTTCCCTAGGTTTACTCCAGGTGATCCTGTCTGGGGAAGGTGATGTGCCCTTGTTTGTATGCAAGCCAGTCACTGCCGTGAGTGGGAAGCGTTGTGCGACAGGGATTCTTTTCAGGGAATGATTTCCTGTCCTGGCAGTTCTGTGGCAGGGGGTGGGTGCATGTGTTGGAGGAGGCTCTGCATCTCTAGAAGTTGAATCGAGCACCCTCTGCTCCTGTGTGGGGCTCTTCTTTGCCCCAGGGGCAATGCCAACACAGTAAGCTCACCCAAATAAACCCAGAACTACCTTTCAGACATGGATCTGTTCCTTCTGCCTGCTCTCCTTTTGTAGAGAGAATACACCTCTAAGACTTAACTCAGGAGTGTATCTGTGCAGTAAAATAAAACAAGCTGTTCCCTGCTTTTATGTTTTCAGAGCAATTGATGTCCTTACTGTAGTAACTGAAAATGGGTTTAGCTCATTGCCTGTATCAGCTCTAAATAGTCTTTCCTGTCTTGAAGCAGGTTTTGTGGTAGTGGAGCTAACCTGCATAGGGAAAATGAAATCAGTCCAACCAGCACATTCAGATCCACTGGCATCATCCCTTACTTTTCAGATGAGTGGTGTTAACTGTCCAGCTTCTTTTTACTATGTTTTAGTGCCTGGATTAGTTTCAGTATCCAGTAGCTGCTGCTACCTATTGTCTCTGAAACCAGGGATCGTTTGCCAAGAGTCTGGAGTTGCATTGTCATGGCAGAACTGCAAGCTGGGATGGCTCTTCAGAGCTCTTTTTCTGCAATTTACTGTAGCTATATAAAGATTAAAATTGCTGTCCTGAGCGACAGAGATTTCTAATCCTTTCACTGTTCTGTTTTAAGATGGAGAAGCATTTTACACAATACTTAGACTATAACCTATTCTTCCTCTGTTCCAGAAGGCATCAGACAATTCAAAATATTTGCCAGTGCTTCCAGATGCAGGCTCTCTGTGGTCAGGGGAGATGAGTGAACCTCTTGTTTTAAACCCTGTTGATTGTTTTTCTGAGTCAGAGTGAATGGCTCATTCACTTGCTTTGTAGCTGTTTCTCTGTGTGCTGAGTTGACTGTGGGTGGACACCACGTGCCCAGCAAAGCCACTCTGTCATTGCCCTCCTCAGCTGGGCAGGGGAGAGAAAATACAATGGAAAGCTCATGAGTTGAGGTAAGAACACTCACCAGCGACCATCATGGGCAAGACAGGCTCAGCTTGGGGAAACTAGTTTAGTTTACAAGCAATCATACCACAGTAGGATAAAGAAATAAAATCTAATCTTGAAAACACCTTCCCCCATCCCTCTCTTCTTTCCAGGCTTAACTTTACTTGTGGTTTTCTCTCCCCCCTCCCCTCAGCAGCACAGGGGGACAGGGAATGGGGGCTGTGGTCAGACCATCACACATCTCATCCCCTGGGGATCCTCACATTCTTCCCCTGCTCCAGCATGGGGTCCCTGCCAGGGGAGACAATCCTCCATGAGTTTCTCCAGTGTGGGCAGAGGCCTTTGGGAACAATCCTGCCAGCAACCTGCTCCAGCCTGGGCTCCTCTCTCCATCCTGCCAGGAGTCTGCTCCAGCAGTTTTCCCACAGCCTCCTTTGGGCACCCAGCTGTGTGGCAGGGACTTCTCCACAGGCTGCAGGTGGATCTCTGCTCCCCATGGGCCACAGCTGCCTCACCATGGGCTGCATCACAGGCTGCAGGGGAATCTCTGCTCCAGTGCCTGGAGCAGCTTCTGGCCCTTCCTCTGACCTGGGCACCTGCAGAGCTCTCCTCTCTCCAGCTGTGCAGGAACTTCCTTTCCCTTCCTAATCGCTTACCAGAGGTGTTATCACCGTGGCTGGGGGGTTCAGCCTTGGCCAGTGCCAGTGCTGCATTTGCTGGGCTGGGCTGGCTCTGTCCCTCGTGGGGAGCTCCCACTGCTCCTCACAGGCCCCAGCCCTGCAGCCCCTCGTGCCAGAGCCCTGCCTTGTGTCTGCCTGGCACTGCAGCCTGGGCTGAGGCACAGCCACCAGCGCCTCTGCCCTGGAGCAGGGACCTTCTGCAGGGCTGGGCAGCCCAGCCAGGCCCTGCTGGAAACCTGCATGCGCTTCACAGGCTCTGCTCTGCAGTCAGGGCTCAACCTGAGTTCCCAGCAGCTCTGATGGAAATCTGCCCACGTGAAAGTCAAAGGATTGCTCCAAAATTACTTGAAGTTGTGCAGGACATGGCTGCATTCCACACACACAGTGTTCAAGCTTAGGATTTTACTAGATTAGCAAGTCTGCCTTAGGATGGAAGTGAGGATTTTAAATGTGCTTGCTGAGATCTCTGAAAAACACTTTATCCCCATCTGTGCTCCACAGCAGCATCCTTCTGTGGAGGAGCAGTCCCTTTCATGTCAGTAACACAACTCAACCCATAGAAATATTTTTTGGATAAGCATTCATGCCTGGTCCAGCCTTGTTTGGATTTAGCAGGAGTCCAAGCTGCCAGGCTACCTGCACTTCTTTGGAAGTTTGAGTTTGAAGCACAGGGAGAGCCCTGTGCAGTGCAGATGCAATTAGCAGTAGTGCAGAATAGGCTCAAAACAGTTAATGCTTTTCTTAATAATGAAAGTTTGAAGTCTCTCTAACATGGAGCAGTCACAGCACTGGCTGCTGCATGGCCTGTGACTTGCCAGCAGAGGAAGGTGCCCTGAGAAGCCCTGGAATATTCTTCTCTTTGTGGCCTGTAAGTTCACAGCCCTGAAGAGCCTCTTCCCAGCAGTGCTGAGCCCTTAACACAGGTAATGATGTTGTGGTTTGTGTTGGGAATGCTGGGAAGGTTGCTCCATGGTGACCACTCTCTCCTAATGGTTATTGTAAACATTTGTATGGCTCAGTGACACTCTTGGTTCAGCTTCCAGTGCTGCTGGCTCTCCTCCTCCTGAGCTCTGGAGCTGTGCAAGCTCCCATGCTGCTCATGGGGAGCTCAGGATTAGAAAATGCAGGCTCCACTTGCAGCACTGGTTCCTGGCTCTGGTCACTGCTGTTACCCATTAACTTCCTCTGCCCTCCCTTGGGGCTGCCTGCTCCCCTGGGCTGGAGGTGTGGAGAAGAGCTTCCTTGCTTCCAGAGCAATTTTACAGGGAAAAGAGGTTGGCTGACCGTGTGCCTAAAGTACATAAAAATAGGGATTTTTATTTTTTAGAAAATCGTGCCAGTTGGAATAAAGTGGAGACCCAAAGGATTCTGCACATATCATGAACAGATAATCTGTTAGAAGCAGCCTGTAATTTACCTGAAACCTATGATTTTTAGCTCCCACACCTGGAGAGGCCAAGCAGATGGGCAGTGTGTGTGTCAGGTATTCAGGCTCACAGCATCTCAGTTATTCCCAACCATCTGACAGAGCTGAAAGGAGTGGGAGTGGGACGTCTTCAATCTTGGAGTGGGTTGGAAAACCCCAGACTCTGTCAGTGTTTGTTGTGGTAACTTGGGGAAAGCAACAGGTTGGATTGAGTAACAAGAAGTGCCCAGTTCCAGGGGGCATTTCAGCACCAAAATATTTCCCTGGACTGATGAATTCCATTTGCAATTTAAGATTTTGTGGTGACAGGGATGTTAATGCTGGGCTTGTTCTACAGTGAACTGAGCAAGTGACTGCATGGCCTTGCACTGCAGCATAAACAAGCTGCACTGATTGATGTGCATGTATTGGCTCTTACAAGAAAGGGAAATGTGATTTAATTGTCAGGAGTGACTGAAATATGAATGGGAATTACACAGTTTGCACAGTGGATATAACTGCTCTGTAATGGTGTGACAGCAGGGTTCTAATTGTTCATTTCTTTTGTTGGGTCACTTGCAAATTAAGTAAGTATCTCTGACAAAGGCATTTTTATGTTTCATTAGTTTTGAGGAGGTTCTTTTTATACTAAGTACAAACCATTGTAATAACTTGGCAAGACAACTGCTACAACTCTGTGGAAACCTGCACCAGTTCTGGGTATTGATCTGGTATTTGATGTTGGGGCTGCCATTCTCTGGGTTGTTTTAGCACCACATGGGATGTGGGCTGTGCAAGGGCAGATGCCAACCCTGCCAAACACACAAGAACTTTGTCACCTTCCGTGGGTCCCAGCATTCCAGCTGTGGGGGGAGAAGAGGGAAATGCTGCCTTGTGGCTGCTGCTTCCTTTCCATCAGAGACAGCCAGGCAGCCTCCAGGCTCCCTGCTTCACCTGAGGGGATCATCCCCATCAACACAGACTCTATCCCACGTCCCTGCAGCCGTGACTGCTGCCAGGTGGGCTGTGGGTGGCACAGGAGTGTCTGCCTTGCTTCCTCGGGGGTGCCACTTCAGCTGGCACAGAATTGCCCCAGAGCAGGCACAGCCACAGTGGAGTCAGAAGAAGATGTCAATCTGCTCACAATTTTTGCAGTTTGTGTTTCAAGACAGATGAAACTAATAAATAAAGGAAGAAACATAACTCTGTCCAAAGTTTTGACAAGCAAAAGCAAATATTTGCACAGATGTGCTGGCTGCTGCCAATTACTTGGGATTGCAATGTTTTTGGATCAATTCATGCCCCCCACAGCCCCAGCACTGTTTCTTCACTGCTCAGGCCCAGCAGCACCGTGGGAAGCTTCAGGCCCTGGTGGAGGGCAGGGACTGCAGCACAGAGGGAGAAGGGAAGGGCAGAGCCAGGATGCCCAGGAGGGGGAATGTTGGGCACATGGGCTGTTTGCACAGGAGGGGTGGCTACTTCGGCCCAGTTGTTTCAGAACTTCATTTTTTCCTTCCTC